ATATACATGTAACTATTTTAAATTATTAATAAAGATATAAGCAAGGCCTCACCTTAATACCAAAAAAAAAAAAAAACAATATGAATAAAAAAAAAAAAAAAAAAAAGTATTACTATAGCATCAACATCACTAATAAGAAAGAGTGGCATTCCAAAATAATTAGTCTTGTATATAGAATCTATTAGCACAATCTTTGAGTAATTTTCAAATCTCATAAGTGCAAAATGTATAGAAAAAAATAAGTAGTGAAGTTTGTTGTTCTTAACTGAATAAGTAACTAAATATTCAGTTTTATTATGTAAATTACTTAAGAGTTGTGATATTTCAGATAAACCTTTAACATAATCATGAGACTGATGGTTTAATGAATTATACACATCCTTATTATGAATATATCTCTTATACTCTTTATTTAATATTCTAATAATTATTGGCACTGGTATTCTACTATTATAAAGCATTAGCACTTGATTATTTTTACTATTGCTTAATTTGCAATAACCAGAATCAAAAACAGCCACAGCAGTATCCATCAGGTGATTATGCTCAAGGTTAACATATTTTACATAATATTATGCTTTTGACCAACAGATAATTATTTTACATGGGCAACCAATAGCAAAACTTCTTGTATTTCATAATTGAATGCTTCTACTATTTGTGATACCAGTATGATGACTAACAATTTCTGCTCTAATAGTGACACCCAAGCTTTTCTCTATACAGTCAAGTCTCATTGCAAACTCTTGTTTGATAGTATAAGCATTAATATGTTGTATGACATCATTCCAAGTAGCAAAAGTCTGCCTAACCACTATTGATTAATGATTACTATTTGAAGGTATTTGTTGAATTGTTTTATTAACATTGGTGTAGTAACTATTATCAAAACTAATATCATGTTCAGTGTCAAGTTCAATGCAAGAATTAGTGTTTTCATTAAGAAAAGAATTCATTATGAAAATAAAAAGTCACTAAACGTATTAATATATAGTATTACAATAGCAATAATTACAACTTTATTTAGCTTAAAAAACACTATTACATAAAAACAATAATATTTGTTTGGTTAAATACAGTGCATAAAATGTAAATATATCATTGACTTTTTTATTACTAATTGTCTTTAACTTGTAAAAAAAAAAACTAACTTTTTTTTTATTTCTGCACTTTTATTTTGTTTTGATCATGCAAATTATAAACATTTAATAAACTTGTATATAAACTTGTATATACTTTTATGCTCTGATCACATCATACAAAGCATAAAACTTTACAAATTAGAAGTACTACATGTTACTAACTATAGTACCCAGGTTTTTTCATAAGAAATTTATATAGTTGTGATATGAAATAAAAAGTTTTTGCATATGAGAATATCAGTAGTCATGTGACTATGACCAAGATGATACATATTAAAGTGGCAGTTATATATGTATGTATATACATATATATATATATTGATATACTATGAACAAGATTTAGTTGGTTAGTACTTTTATTCATATAATGAAATTTTATTAGTTATGGTTAAATGCGAGGCATGTAATTGGTCAATCTTTATATGCCACTGTGGCTGGTAGGTGATGCTTACCTAGGTAAAAATAGAATTTTCCTTTATAATATACATAAAGCTTAATAGATTTTAAATGAACAATTAGATTATAATAATTTAAAAAAAAATTAATTTATTTACAATTCACTTTTATAGTAATGTGATTAATGTTTAGAAAAAAAAATACTTAATGAAAACAGTATGCTTAGTTTGGTTGCAAAAAAAAATTTAAATATAATAAAAGACTATATTGCAACACTTTAGTTAGTTTTTAAGATTAATTATAGTACTAAGTATTTAATTAATAGAATTGTATCTATAATAATATATTGGCTAGATAAATTTACAAGGAACACCCATAAAGGTTAAGAACTCACAAAAGCTATAAGTTAGTTCATTTAGTACTCTTACTTTTTCTTCAAGAAAAATTTTGTAAAAGTGGATGATTTAGTTTACCCCCTTCTAAAGATCGACATATAAAATTACCAAAATAGTCAGCAGTGTTTACTTCCTAAACAGGATTGTTTATGACATGGATTAGAAATAATACAGCAATACAAATATGACTATACATGTGCCTTGAGCTGCTGAAAACTTGTCAAACATTGTTTCCAGACTAATCAGTATCTTATACTAACCCTTTACAATAAAGTCAAAGTTTTTTTCATCTTTTTGGTTTTTTGTTTAAATAATCTAAATAAATAGGAAGATAGTAAAGTAATTTCTATTTAGTATAGTTTATAATTTTTATAAGCCCGATACAGGCTTATAATTGTGATTGTCTGATATTAGTAAATTACAAGTTTCATGTTTAACACAGACTTAAAATCATGACTGTTTGATTTTGTGAATTACAAGTTTCACACTTTCCTTTTTTCTCATTTTTTTTTTTCCCTTTTATTTTTTGTTTTGTATCTTTTATTGTTTACTCCTATACCTCTGTTTTTTTTATATATAAAATTTTTTTTTGTTTTTTTGCTTCACTATGAGAAGGTGTCATTAGATTGGTAGTATCCTATTGTAGGGTGGCAGTCAGATAAGCAGTCTACTTCTGTTTAAGATAGTGTGGCAGGTCACACTTAGGTACCAATAAGATGGCTGGGTGATGCTAGACTTAAGTATTAGAAAAATTTTCTGTAATCTGTATAGTATCAAGAATTCTAATAAAGTACTAGTATGACTGCTTAAGAAAAAAAAAAAAAAAAAATACATTGGCCAGATTAGTTATTTGTATAAAAAGTACTTATAAATTTTTTTTAAAAAAAGAACTATTTAATTTTATCAGAAATTATTTTTTTTGTTTCTATTTTGAATCTATTTCTTATATATATTTTTTTAATTTCTCACTGCATGGTCACTAGTGGGCCACAGCTGATGGCTGTTTTATTAGTTCAAATTTTTTAAGTTCACAGAACCTTTTATCAGAATCCTACCTATTTTATATTTTATATTTTTATTTATATACATTTACAATACTATCTATATACTAATTTTTGTATTCCTTTATCTCAAAATTTCACCAAAATTATCCCTAATTAGGGATTTCTTTGTTCTATTATTATTTTCAGCTTTCTAATTATCACAACCTTCTTATATCAGGTCTATTATTATTTAAAGATCTGGGTACTGAAGATCTTCTTATTTTCATAATGCACCATTAGATATGATTAATCAACAATTATAATCTTAACTCAGTTTTTGTTTCCTGTTGGACTTGAACTGTCAACCTTGCAATTGGTGACCTGGGAGTGTAAACACTTTGCTATTAACCTGCAGGTCTTATTTTATATGTTTTTTTTTTTTTAAAAATATTAACGATAAGGCCATGCCTTTAACTTTATTGAAATTTAATTGAAGTTTTTACAAAAAAAAGCTTGCTTTTAAATTACATATAA